TACCAGACAACATTGGAAGAGTTCTGTCAGTCAATGTCAATTGATCTTTGCTTAAAGGAGAAGTTTGATGCTGTCAATACAAGTCCTTCTCTTAAATGCGAAACAGCAACTTACGTCTTTGACTGGAGACCTGACGAGAAGAAATTGAAAGATATTACTGACATTCTTTCCAAGACGTCTGGCAAATTTGTAAAGATAAAGTATATTGATACTGGATACTCCATTGTGGTCACTTGCTCCTTCCCTCACTCTCTCACTGGAGCTCTCATTATAAAATTGAGTGAGAATCTTAAATTATTAATAAAAAATGGTCTAATGAAGCTTACTATTGGATACTGCACAATATGGAAAAAACAAAAGATACAAGTATGTATAATTGTATATATATACTGTCAGTAATTATGATTATATACTGTATTATATAAAGGAAATACAGGAACCACTAGAAGAGGAGGTAGAGGAGATAAAAGAACAACCTCATGATACAAAGGTATAATAATTTGTGTTTGATTATTTTATTAAACTAACTTAATAGGAAGAGAGAGTAGCAAGACTGGAGGAGAAAGAAACAGAAGGAGCAACACCTCAATCAGTAATTAATCAAGGTATAATAATACATTAATGTAATGATTGTTGACCGGTATTATTAATTGATGAATAATTATTATATTTCAGGTATACTATCAACTGATACAAGTGTGACAATAATTAATAAACAATTAATAAAAGAAATAAAAACAAACAAACAATTAGAAGAAACACTAACAAGTAAGTATAATAAAACTTTATTAATTATAATTGAAATAATGTAGAAATGAGAGTAAAGGAAATTCAACAACTTCTGTCTTTACCAAGAAATACTAGTTCAGGTTAAAATTATTTAGCTATTTATTTATTTATTTGTCTATAGAATCATACAGAATCAAAAGAGGAATGAGAATGGAAATAGAACAATTGCAATTATTATTAACAAATAAAACTGGTACTGAATCATAATGTATGTGTTAGTGTATTGTAATTATACTATGATAGGTTTACTGGATCAGAATGAATCATTAATAGATATTAAGAGAGAAATAGCTGAACTACAAGAACAGATATCAGTAATGAGTGTACATATACTAAATAAAAGAGAAGAGAATGAAAAATATAGAAATATAATAAAAAGTATGTGTCATTATTTCATAACTGATTGATGTATTGTATCACTGGTATATAGTGAATAAACCAACAGCAGAATCTGTTTTTATTGCTCGTTATGACTATCATTCAATGGAGAGTGATGAAATATCATTCAGTGAGGGAGAGCAGCTGGAAATATATGAGAAGGAGAGTAGTTTTTGGTGGAAAGGAAGATCTTTGGTGTCTGGTGATAAAGGATATATTCCTAGTAGTTGTGTTTACTCAATGTTGGAGTCACTTCAATTGTTAGAGTTTATACTGTCAGTGGAAGAAGTGTCCCTTCCTATTCTGCATCTACAAAAGATAAGGAATGATTCATCTAGTAATGATGAGAAAGCTTTTCTTTTCTTGGAGACTATTAATGATGATCCTGTTATGATATCTGCACTGAGACAAGACGTGGAACAACATGATAAAGGTACGTAATATTTGTGATTATTGTGACAGTCAGTATAATTATTCATGAACATGTAAAGTCATGTGTACATGCATACTTAAGTATTGTGTATAAAATTAATTCACTAATTTCACTTCTAATTTTACTCTGTACATACTTAATGCATTATAACAAACACACACATTCACATAATACAGTCAGTCAGTGACAACTACTAGCTGTGTCTGTATTTGTTTATGCAAGTTGTGTGTGTTTGTATATACACATGATGTGAATATGTGTATTATTATGTACATACATGTATATAAGTATAATCCTTTGGTTTATATTAGGAGTCACTGGGAGTGTGAAATGGGGCAGTGACAGGGTATCCCTTAACTCTCCATCTCCAGTTCAGTGTAATGAAGTGATTAGTAATATTAATAATAATCATGAGGTGATTAGACATGAAAACTCATCTACTAATAGTACAGTATCTCTACTATCATCAACTAAACTACATACACTAAACCTGAGGAGACTTGAGATATACTACACTCCATTAACTAATGATTGTATCCAGTACTTGTGTATACTACTAACTAATAATAAAACAATACAAGAACTAGAAATCAATGCCTTCTCCATTAGTGATAGAGGAGTTACTAATGTCTGTCAAGCACTTAAACACAACTCTACACTTACCTCATTAGATCTTTATTGTAATCCTCTCATCACTTCTACTAGTGGACAGGCTCTTTCTCACCTCCTCCTCAATAACTCATCACTAGTTGAACTGTATTTAAGGAGGACTTCATTGTCTACTGAGTCAATACTACTCATCCTCCAGTTTCTAATGGATAATAAGAATATAAGGAGACTCAGGCTAGACTATCGACACAAAGAGACTTGTATTAATACTTATCCTAACTATCACCTCATACAAGACAGAGTATACTGGTGGTAACTAATCACTCTTCATGTTAACTTTTTAATACCAAGTCAGTTCATCTTCACCAATAAGCAACCAATCAGAATACACTACTTTACATGATAAAAGGTGGACCAGTGACACATTATATTATCATAAATCTAACACATGAACATCTCTTGATCTCTCATCAATCTCTCTCTCTCTCCTTCTCCAGTATATACTGTACATTCCTTCCCTTACTTACACATACTCATGTCACTGTCTCTCTCTTTGTTGTCATCATTTCTTTCTATTTCCTTCTCCTTTATTTCTATCTCTCCCTCAGTCTTTAATAACTTTTCTCTAGCTGACCTTCCTCCATTTCAGCAAGTCAGTCTTGTTTCCGTTCTCAATATATTTCTCTCAAAAAAGGAGCAGATAAAAAGAATAAAAGACAAAAGCAAATTAATAATAATAATAATAATACAATTTTTAATTAAAATGTTTATAAAAAAAGATAATAAAAATATTTAAATATGTCTGCACAGTTCAACCAGTACACCAGAATCCTGAGAATGACCAGCTGGAGAAAGAGAGGAAATGACAAATTATAGACACACACACATACCATATAAGGTTGTACAATATTATCAATATCAGGAGCCTGTCAATATATAGATCATCAAGAGGACATATTGTTGTACTGATAGTATTAATTATTGTATCAGGAATACTGAATATTAATTATTCACAACACAAAGCATTACTTTACAACAAGAACCCTATTTTATAAAACAAACTGTCAATTATCCTAGTTTTCTGTCATAATTATGATTATTACATGCTTTAAAA